AAAAATAATACTTATAATATATAAATCAAAGATAACTAACGTATTAATTAATTATATTTTTTCATATTATATATGAAAACAATCGAAAATGAACTTGAATAAGATAAATATATTAAAAGTAGGAATTAACTTTTGCTGGAAAATGTATGAAATTAATGTGTTAACATAAACAAGAAGCAATTGGCGGTAATTACACGGGATGTTGACGACACCTGTGACACTAACGACATGTTATGAGACGCTTGGTTTGAATTAATGATTTGGTACATAATTACTGTTTATACTATTACTTTGTCAGTCCAAGGTACATATTTTCCATAACTCTTATTAATATTATAATTCACTTCGAACAGCTCGGTTCTAACCTCAATTTTAAAAAGTGTCGGGAAATCACTGTTCATTATATAAATTAAATATTTAAATTGTTCTATTATATTGTTATCCTAAAAAGATGTGAAACATTAAAAGAATGAAATAATTATTAAAGTATTAAAAAAGTCTTCAAATAAGGATAAGGGATTCTTATCTTCGAGAATAAATGTTTATTGCTGGGGAACATCGATATAATTATCTGCATTTTTTTTTTTTTTTTTATGTGAAAGGTGACAAACGAGCAGACGGCCCACTTGATGGAAGGTGGCTACCGTCGCCCATGGACATCCGCAACATTTTGTTGCGGATGCGTTGCCAACCTTGTTTTTTGGGGATAGGGAGGGGTGGGATTAAGGAAAGGGTAGGAATAGGGAAAGGGCAACCGGCTCTCTCACTCATCAGACGAAACGCAGCCAGTAAAGGCTACTTCACGCCGATCTTCTGTGAGAGGGTGGTACTTCCCCGGTCGAGCCAGCCCACGTACGAGCTGTAGTAACTCACTACAGCTAGGCTCTACCACCTTCAAATTTAATGGGATATGTAATATAGCTAACCAAAAATTATGCATTCACAATACCAAAACCGATCTAAACCGCATCCAACCTACATATTATAATAATTCATTTCTATTAATCGGTCCATTAATTTCAATTGACAATATTAGAAATATTATTTAAAAGGACTTTATTGTCTTATTGTATTTTTATCACTTCTATTTCAAAAAAGCAATTTTCTCGAAAGGTCTTTACTTAAGTACGATACTCGTTTTATGTATTACTTTTTATTAATACGATGGCTCGATGTTTGATGATACTACACAGATATTGTCTGATTGTGCTCACGAATATCATATATTTGATATTGTATTACGCACAGTTCACAAGATATATTTATTATTTGGTGTATGTCTGACTTACTTGGAATCGAAAAAAATTGTGAGAAATGGGAATGATTTTATGTCTCATAAGTTTTCATAAATGATATTATACAAATAAAATATAATCCGAAGAAAATTTGGACTCATCTTGTTTTATTGAAGAATTCTCGTGATATCGCTAATGACGTACATTAATTTCACACTTACACCAAAATAATAACTATGTTGAACAAACGATGATATTTTATAACTGTTGCAAGTTATATTAAGCTACATAGATTGAATATAACCATATATTTAATAAGTACATAATATATTGTATCTTCCATTTGTTATGTTATATTTCCTCGACGACCTCCTTTTCTTTTCTGATACATGTAAAATTTAAAAAAAATATTTGTGTGAAACCATTACCAACAACTTCTATGTTTGACACCATGGGATTCTATAACATTGATGACTGGCATAGATAACACCCATCAGATGAAATCATACCTCCAACCGATTTGTCCTGTTTCAGATTGTGCCAGAACAGCTTTTTGATGAACTGCTTGCTTGTTGCTTGCTTGAGATTTGCACCGATTACTATTTGATATGAATGTTGTACAAAAACATTGTTTTCATATCGAGTGATTTGTCATAAAGCATCTGAATCAGGGTCACTATAACCATGCACACCAATTATAAGTCTACAGGAGGAGCTTCTGGTCTAGTCTCATTTGACTTATCGAATACTTGCGACGGGGTCGGATTCCTTGTAATTTGATTCATCGTTGGTTTTAAAGTTTAGCCGCATTTAGTTATCTGGTATGTATGTATCATGGCACCTTAATTTTTGTCGGTTTTTTAAGTCGACTAGGATAGGTGCAAGGAAACTGTTATCGTTGCAATAAAGCGGTAGTACTTTAAGCCTAGATTCTTTGTTTATATTATAAGGTCTAGTGAATAGTCCGGACATAATATGTGGATTAGTTATAAGCAGGTTTCGTTTTAGTTTTATAAGGCACTAAAAATGCAACGTCACTGTTTTGCAATTAGTAAAAATGCTTATCGATGACCACGACTTGTTTGAAATCAATGTAGATAGTAGAGATAGTCTTCAACTGGCTATTATATAGAAGAGCCCATGAATATTTTCGTTTTTGACAAATATGTATAATGTTTTTGGCAAATGTAATTTAATGCCATATAGCGACTGCGATAGTTCGTTTACCATTTTAAGTTTATAAGTTTCGTAGCTTAAGATCAAGTCATAAAATGAGGCACTATCCAGTTGTTACTTAAAAACATATCGTAACAATCGATACTATTGCTAGAACCTTACAGGCAAAAACGAGGTGAGAACTCGTGTTACACTCCGCATGAGTCTCTTTTACTATTCAGTCAAATTATTTATGTAATAAACATCTTAGAAAAATAACATGTATATTGGTGAGTATTATAATGAAAAACTGGTATTACATTTTGAAGTTTTGAAAATTTATTTTAAATTATACGGTAAGTAAAACAATTTGAAGCAGTAAATTAAAAACATATTCTTCATCGGTAGTAACTACTTTGACGAACTTCAAATTAAAAGAAATTAGCTGATTGTATCTCAAGCTGTTTCAGCGAAGTGAACTTTAAATTAAGAAAGTTTTAGAGGTAACAAAAAGGATTCAACGATGATTAATAAGTAATTCGAAATAGAATACTTCCATTATCGTTTTGAATAGAGAGTGACAGTTTCGTAAATTTATGAAGATATCTTAGGATTATTCGATTCTTTTGATAGTTCGTTTATTGATAAATATTTTTACCCTTGTCTTTTGATTAATAACTTTCCATAATCCATAAAATCATAAGGTTATTGCTACATTGAGATTAAAGAGAAAAGAATATCGAATTGGAAAGATTACTACGTATGATGTAAACAGCTACATATAAGTAATTTAATAAAAAGAAAAGAAAATATTTAATGTTTTAAATTAATTCATATTTATGCAACACCGTTTAATAAAAGGCAATAAAGGAAACGAGTATCGTAACAGATGTTTCAGAAGTAATCAATCCAAAACTCTCCTTATTTATAACAATACTTTGGATTATGATGAAATATGTGCCATAACGTAATCCATTTGTTTTGGACAACTGTTAATCACCAAGATGTTATGATATAAAATGAGTATTTCTTAGAATTGACGAAATATATAGAAATTAACTTAATCTTTTAGGCAATATTTTCTTCAGATCTTCAACACATCATTAGTAACAAAATTTCGTTTTAATTGAAGTTTTGATTCTGGCTAATCTTTTGTTCTTATGAAAGTTTTTTCTGTATACTTTTTATCATAACATTTTAGTACTAATGTAATAAGAAACTTATGATGTTATAAGAATGTTTCTTTATTTTACAAACTGGAGTTAAAGTTACAAATCGACATCTAAAACTAAAGTCTGCTCACCTCCTTCATTACTGTAAAAATTATTTATTGCCCTGTTTTAAAATTATATTCAACGTATGTAGTGTTAGTGTTTTAACCGATATTTATATTAAAATCAAAATTAGAATAAAAGTAGATAAATTTGATGAAACCCAAATGACTTTTTTATGGGCGTGTAAAGTTATTAAAGTTAACTACAATAATAAAGTTTTTATTGTTTTTAATTTAATTTAAATGAAACTAATATTTTTTGACATACTACGTGACATTAGTTTTGTAAAAAAACACATACTCTCGACGTTTCAGCTACTTTTCAGCATCCGTGACTTTTTATAAAAATAAAGTCGTGTAGTTTATCCAAAAATATTAGTTTCCTTTATATTAATAAAACTTGCGAAAGTCTTAGATCTCATTATTTTTATTTTAGTTGAAAATATTTTGAAACAATTTGCTACACCGTATTTATTTACAAATACTCATTAAAGATCGTGCAAACAAAAAAACTTTAAACCATTTTTATCCTTATACAGTCTACCGCTTTTCCGTAATTACCAAAGTCGTTAACATCTATCGAGACCCTTTAAAAACTTCCTAATAAAGCCTGTAAGGAAACTATCACTACTACTTTCTTTCTACACTTTATAAAGTGTTTCGTCAGACTTTACCGAACTTTTTGTTGGAATGCTGATATCGGAAAACTTGATGTGGTACGTGATCCTTTTGACACAAGTTTTTCATTCCAATTCTTAGCTCTAGTTCCATCCTTTCTATGACGATCTATTGAATGACAGACAATACTCTGTTTTTTGTATTCACCTTGTTTTATACGAAAAATTTAAGTGTGTATACAGATCTACATACTTTATTCAAGGGAATGATGATGAAAAATACATTTGTATATTTTTTTTAATTAAATTTACTAAACATTAAATTAACATGACAAAGGAAACATCTTTTTTCTTAGCAAAGAAATAAATGGCAAATATATTATACACAAAGAAAAGCCGTTATTATAAAGACAATTTTAAAGAATATTTAGTGAGGCATCTAAAATTACATTACTAGTTGTCAACTACGGAGTATTCATATCTGGCTATACCTATTGTACTGCGGATGACAAATAGTGCATTGTTAATCATTACCACACGTGGCTATAATTAATTACACCGCAAAACAGATAATATTACAGAAATTGGTTGCATAACATAAACGTTTTAAATAAAAATTTGAATGACACTAACAATACCTATTGTTTTTGCTTCCTTGTGATAAAAGTATTTTTCTATGATTGTCGCTTTTAATTTTCTTATTTGTAAAATATATATAATTTAATATATTTCTTCTATTGAAGGCATTATTTGTTCCGGAACTTGTGAATTGTCTATTTGACGTTTTCGAAATTCAGGAGCTACTACTGTCTCTTTCACTACGGCCACGTTACTATTGCTTTTGTTCTGTTCCTTTTTTCCTTTCTTATTTATTTTGTTCTGCGATACGGACAAAATTAAATCAGCTTCATGTGATTCGCAAGGGGAAGATTTTTCGACGCGATACACTTGACACGTCGACCCCATTTTAGTAGTATTTTGGCGACCTATAATATTTGTGTATGTTTCTTTTATTTTTAAAGCATAAACTTTGTTTTTATCATTATATTTGATAATAGTAACTGATTTGTTATTCTTTCTTGATTTTGACTTTTTTCCTTTGGTGTCTTGTTTTGAAGCGACTTTATCTATGTTTGTTTTACGCTTGTCTCTTTTAGCTTTGTTTTGAAGAATATATTCAGCTTGCAAGCTCTCGATGTTATTATTCATGATACCCATTTTGTTATGTACTCTATGAGCTTTTATTGATCTCTCCATGCAAATATAACACCCTCTACAAGCAGGGTCCATAAAAACTGACTGAAGATCACTTACTTTACTGTACACAGGTGGCGAGTGAACATTAACAATTATATTCTTTCCCAATAATGGTCTTTTTTTAATTACAGTCGTATGATTAACATCAGATTTTTGAGGCAATTTAATGTTCGAACGTCCTAAAAACAATAAGTCATAAATTTATTGTAAATTTCTTGATAAAAAATTATGAAATAGCTAAAAAGCAATGATTTATTATTGTAAGTGGTAAAACGACGAAGCAGAAGGTTTAATAGACACAAATTAATTAAAGTCATCCTTTTAATTCAAAACGTGGAAATGTTAAAGCAAAAATATTCTCACCAAGTGACTGCGGTAGGAGCGTTATTATAGCACATAACAACAGAGAACTCATTAGTTCCATTTGCACTGCCTTCGCTCAGAAGGTGTCTTCACTTGCAACTGACAATCTTTTAACAAAAGTACACTAACAAGCTTCGTTATGATCCTGAGGAGTTTTACAAAACGCTCTGTTGCTCAAACCGTCTTACCGTCTCGACTGGGGCTAGAGTCTACGTGAAGAGTTTTCAAGGGCCCCTGTTTATGTCTTAGTTCATTTGGGTTTAATTTTTATACAATTTAATTTCAGACTTTATTTAATTCCTTTTTCATTTTCCATAAAAAGAAAATTATTTTAAAAAACGAATTAAATATTCAATTAATTATCTCAATTGCCGCAGAGCAGTGATCACGAAATACGTAAGATGCACCTTATATTGCACTCAATTGAGCTAACTCACGTACTAGATGTTTATCGTAGTTGAGGTGTTTACATGGGGTTGCCCGTCGACAATCGAATGTTTGGCTTCCTCCAGTCCCGTCTTAGAGGTATTGTGATCATGTTTATATGTTTATGTTACGTGAGCGATAACAGGACAGACATTCGTGCAATACCAAGACACAATACCGAAATGTTGTTTCTTATCTTGCATTGCTCGAACGCAAAGGAAATTTTGGCAATAACAACTGGTGGAATTATTGAGCAAGTTTATAAAGTCCGACATTGTCAACAAACTCGCAAAAATATGGTGTAAGTAATGCTTTATCACATTTTATTAGATTTAAGAGGTATATTCACGTTCGTGCAGGTCCAATGAAATTATCATAAAATATCAGGAAGAAGTGTAGCGAAGCAAAAAAGCTGGCAAACTTCTTTTTCGTAAGTTATCTCGTTATTCACAGAGATGTGACTTTTATGACAGAATCGGACTTTGGGTTATTTGTAGGGAGGGTAAAATTTACCATTTCCGTTTTCAAGTAATATGAAAATATTTAAGGTTCACGAGCTATAAAGGATTATTATGTTTTTTGTACGGATTCCTAATAGTTATAAAAAATGAGATTGTTGTAGAATTTATTGTTAGACTTATCAGTTCAGTAATTATTCATACTTTATTTGTGGCATAGGTGAATTAGTTTTTTTGAACATTTATCATACATTTGGTTTATTACAGGTACACCGTCTCGAAATTTAATAATAAACCCTAATATAAGATGCAGAACACGAAAGTTACTTCAATAAAATTGAATATAAAATTAACAAACAATATGATGTTCAAAATGAGAGTGTTTGAGATCCGTAAGATTAAATTCAAAAACTTATTAAATTTTATAAATAAACCGGAATTTTTTTATTAAATAATTGGGAAGGTAGTATTTTGTTTAAATTTTGTTTAAAAGCGTAATACAATATAAAATCATTACATATAATTAACAAATTAAGTTAATCTACAGACATATATGTATATACTGGAAGCGAAATGTTCCTATTGAATTGAGAAATTTATATGAGTTGTATTTTGAAAAAGATACAGCCTAATGCTTACACAAAAATTCAGTCCTTTTAAAAACGTACTAAAGTGTTTTGTTTTAAATTAAAATGATACTGCACAAAGAGAGGAGAACTCGTTTTCCGTGCATGTGTATAAAAATGTACCGTTAAATTAAATGAATTTCCCCAGGCCAAACTACCTCCCAGAGGCTTGAACTCATTCCGCTTATCGGTCGCTTTGATGCCCAACCAGCTAGTTGAGTACATGAATGAACTGCATTTTTATCTAAAAATTTTGTCGGCATTAAAACTTACTTGATATACAGACATAGGTATGTTTTTACGAAGTATAGATATTACTTTAGGAGTCAGTCTGACTATTTTGAGGATCATAATTGCTAGTGATATGTTCAGTACCCTAAGAATGAAAAACAATTTTTGAATTTTGAATCGTTGACCAAATAAGGAATGCTAGTTATTTACAAATTATGGTATTTAAATTACTTTATAAAAAAAATTACGTAACCGAGCATGTAATAGCTGGCTTATGCTAATTGTATTGACCATGAGAAACTTTAACTGGATTTCATTGCTATTGAAATAGAAATATTGACTTAGTTGGCTGACGTCAACAACTAAGGTCAGATCTTTAGAAACAACATAGTAGAAGTTTAGTGCTCACTTCGCTTACATCTTTACTTAAAATCTTTTAGTTTGCAACATATTAACTATGGTTAGTGAAAATAAAATAAAAATCTCTTGGATACATTAATGTAACGTTAACATAACTTCTGGTTATGTTAACATTATCTTAGTACTTATTTTGGTCATAAATATTGTAACAAAGATATTTTTATTCAATACTACTGTTAATTACTATAAATACATTGATTTAAACTAAAAATAACGATTATTTAAAGTAGTCTGAACTGGTTTCAATATAGTGATTTAATCGTTCGAAACAGACCATAAACCTAAATACATTTTATTAATTTATAACTTCTATTCTTAAGCCCTGATAAAGGTCGTTACTTTCATTACCATCTTATATTGAATGGACCAAGATATTTTGCAAAAAAATCTTTAAATAATCGTTTTTAAACTATTTAAAAATTTAATTTTGAATATAAGTGACGGTCATATAAAAGTTACATAGCTTTCTCTCAAAAATAGAGGAGATTATAGAATCATAAAAATGCAGTAATTTATATCACGTTACTCCATTTTAAAATATGCTACGTACTAAAAATAATTTATTATTATTATTCTAGTCTGTACGACAAACAGTTAATATGTACATATATTGCATCTTGATTATTTTTATTCACTTTTCTTTTCACTTCTCGCATTAATATATATATGAGTATTTCAATGGATTGCAGCTCGCAAAGGAGCTGATAATAACTTGATGGATGAATTTAATCCAGGATTTTATGTGAAGCTGCATCCATCATATTTCTAAGCCTTCACTTTTATGTTTCAATTTATATATCATCTAAAATCAACGTTTGTTCATTTGAATAATATGGATTATATGAGAAATTTTGTTGTATATTTTTAAAATGTTAAAGTAAAACTGGTTCTTTGTGGTTATTTTAACACGAGTTTCATAAATTTTATAAGTCAATTAATAGATGCATTAAACCTTAAACCACCCTCATTCCTTAATAGGACAACAAACATCTCGAAACAGAGTTTTTTTGTACTGGCTTCTAATATGTTAATTTGGTAGCCTTTTAAAGATCCTGCTACCTAAAAAAGTACAATTAATAATAAAGAATCAAAATGTAGATGTTTTAAAGATAAATATTTTCAAAAGACAGATTTTTTGAATAAATCAAAGTGATTAAAGAATGTCATAAAACTGATACAATTGAGTGATTGGTTGACAAAAGATAAAAATTCTGTTGTTATGGCAATTTTATCGATATACTGAAAATTATTATCTTTATTTGAAGAATTGTTGCTTAGGGATTATCATAATAAACATTATATTGTGATTATCTCTTTCCTGCAATCAGATTAAGACTCCCCTTTTTAATGATACGATTCCTATCTCTTTCTTATTTTGAATTAAAATGTTACTATTTTTAATTTGTTAATATTTTTCAAGTGTCATCTTTAATACGAATTTTTGCAACTAAAGATATATAGGTAAAGGAAGGGTCGCACTATTTTCACATGCTGAAGTTTGTAAAGACAAAAATAGTATATCTATTCTTTTATTTTTAGCCAGAACTGCAGATAAGTAACTAATACTAATACCGATGCATTATGAAGTATTTTACCTGTGAATTTTATTCGTCATCAGCCTATCACAGGCCACTGCTGTGCAAATGCATCTTCACACATGGAGAAAAGTATTAATAACCACGCTTGCTCAATGCCGGTTGGGCATTACAAACTTATAATTTGAAATTATTTCCCATATAATTTCAATTTATGTCCAGATTAAATCATTATGTTTTCCTTCACCATCTGTCAGGGGTATCAAAATACTCTAAGAAAGTACTTATGACTCGGAAAAATCACATTGGTACGTGCCAGGTTTCGAACAGGCGCCCTCGTGCATGAGAGGCGGGCCTTTAATCTCTAGGCCACCACGACTCAAATATGAATTTTATTAAAAAGTTGTAATTCATTTCAAATAGTTACAATCACCACAGATAAATATTCAAACAAAATGATCCTAAATAAAATACAAGTAATGTCACAGTATTTACGGTGTTTTCTTTAAATAGTAAGTTAATAATGTCAAAAAACTGATATTTATTATCAGTTATTTATCTTAAATCAGTAATAATCAGCTTCATCGTTTTTATTTTAAAATATCAAAACAAACGAATTATTATAACAAAATAGAGTACGAGCTAATCTAAGCTATTTACATTTCTCATACGTAGTAAGTAGCAGAAATTCTAACTAACAGATTTGTATATTTAATCTCTAAAAATAACTATACCTCTAGTCAAGAAGAGTCAGGATATTATATATTATTGTTTTGTTATAAATTATCATGTTATGAAAAATAATATCTTTGAAGATAATTAAACGATGATATGATAAAGACCACTAATTGCGTTTTAATATCTAATCGTATAGTAAAAGCTTTTTTTAAAATATTTTTTATAATCTGCAGGAAATATAAATTAAATCGATAAATTTATATAAGAATAAATAGACGAAATAAAAATTGTATGTTTACAGATTTGTTTCAGAAAAAGGTTCTTATCCACTTTTAATCAAGAAATAATGGTTAGGCGTCTATCGAATAAAGTTAAATTATTTTCAACTACAAATTTAATAAAAAGAACAGCCCGATTTTACTTCTAAGAAATATTTGTGTTTTATAATATGTAATAATATTGTAAAGATGCTAAGTTTTTTTGTTTGTTTGAATGCACTAATCTCAAGAACTTATGATACGGTGTCAAAAATATTTTCAGTGTTGAATAGCCCATTTATTGAGAAAGGCTGAAAGAAAAGAAAAAATGCTATTTTGTATCTATCTATGGGGGCAACGCTAAAAATATTGACAGTAAAACAAAATAATGTTCTACGGATGTATGGGTCCCATTAAGACCCAGAAAAATGTCCTGGTGATCATATACCTAACTATCATATTTTGGTCACAATATCCATTTTTATGTTTAAAAAAATTATTAAATTGTATGAAACAAGAAACTCCATTAAATAATGTAAATTCTTAATCCAAATTAAGTATTATGTTATCAGGTTCATTTATGTGGAGGTAAAATGATTTTTGTTTTATTCCAATCGGATATCTCGTTTATCATTAAATCACTGAATTTCAATTAAGATTTCAAAACACTTTCAAAATTATAAAAAATGTACTATATAAACGTGAAAGTAGCTGTCTATTACGTTTTCACGCCTAAACCGCTACAACCGTTGTGATGTAGCGGTATTGTAAGCGATGTAATTTTTGTATAGATCTAGATGGGACCCTAGAAAAAAGATATAGGCTACTGTTTACTCGATTCCGATCCCGAATCAGTTCCCAAAACTACATTGGTGGAACACTATTCTTCGGGTTCAGGAGTCGTAATGGTAAAGAACAACTCTAATATTCAAGGGAACGGAGCCGCGGGTAAAAGCTAGTAATAATATACGACTTATTATATAGGAAAAATATGTAATATAAAAATAATATATGATTTAACACTAGATCTCTTAATACGGTATTACTACTCGAAGACTACACTCTTATTACATGTTTAAATCATAATAATAATGTTTTCAAGATTTTAATTCTCGTTTTAAAAAACTTTCTCATTCACTGCATATTTTGCGTGTCGTAAGATGAATGCGTGTTGTCATCACAATATCCGCGAACTACTACTTACTTTGCCTTCGTTCTCGAGATTAAGATCTTCCAAGTATAGGTTTTTGAAAAAATTCTTTCTTGGATGTTCCTTGAAATATTACCATGACACTAAAGAACAGGATATTTCAATGGTTATTTTAAGAATTCTTATTCAGAATTTACTTATTTTTTTTATTTCAAAGAAAATTAGACAACATTAAATAAATTTTAAAAATAATGTTTAATGAAATCGTTCAACACAATTGAAACTAAAATCAATATTTTCGCTTAGGATAATATTATTGTTTACTTTTCATACCTACTTTAAATCTATAATATTATATTTCTCATTTGTTTTCTTTCATTCATTCATTCAATTCATCAAGTAGATATCATCAAAGTGTTTTAAAAATTGCAAAGTTTCATAAAAAATGTGTTTTTCTGAATATAGTATATAAATATATAATAAAAAAAGGTCGTAAAACCGATTAAAGAGTTTTTATAAAGACTTTGATAAATAAATAAATTATAAATTAGTCGGATCGATAGTTTGCTTTTGGTCATTAAAAAACAATAAGGCAAGGAACTCTAAGTAATTTTAATTTGTAATTTTGCATTCAACAAGTCCTTGTTGTATATCGGGATAACCTTCATCAATGTAGGCGTATTATTTTAGTATATATAAGGATTAATAAGAAAAAAGATATCAATAATATTTACACACAAATATGTGAAATAAATTTCTTACATTAATTTTGCCTTTCTGAATAATTAAACTTTTGTAATAAATGTAGAAATTTCTGACTATTGGAATCTATTGTAAGGTGTGATGATATCTGCATTTCAACGTTGAGTGACCTATTTTACTTGTTTAGAAACTATAATTTTCTGGAGCCGTGTAGCTTCGAAGAGATGACTTAGCTAAGAGACAATTATTCCTGTACTTTTACATTTTAGACAATGAATAAAATAAAAAATCCATCTAGTCTGCATCCGTGCATATACAGATTATTTTAAAGAAGATACTTTTCGAGATGCTAATATCTGAAAAATGCTATTTAAATACATCTAAATATGTGTTCTTACTTTAGTTATCTATTATTGCAATGCTTTTGCTTTGTCTAATGTTCGACTGGAGCTTCGAAGAGTTCTGGAGTAATGAGTGCAGAAGATCCATTTCAACTACTCTTTTTTCCACTGAAGTTATGCCTTAATTAATTGCTAGAATTGGACAAACATACGATGAGACGTGAAGTAAAAGGGACAATCCTAAATGAGCTCACCGGTGATTGTATGTATATTATATAAAAAGTGACCTGATAAGGAGATTATAAGATAATTTTGTATTTAAAACCCTAAAGATTTATACCTTGGTCATAACTATGTACATGAACCCAGTTGCATTCTGTTTCCAATTTAAATGATAGCACATAGTATACCGAGTCATTGCAAAAAATTGTCATATAAATATATATATAAACTAATCTGTTTATAAATTGGTTTCACTACCGTTGTGTATGATATTGCGAGTTAAAAATATCTTTTAAGTTAAAATTTCCTTTTAAATATGTATAAAATGTTATTTTTGTAATTACTTTTAAGTTTTACTTAAAATTACTCACATCTGAACTAAACAGGAATGTATTTTAAAATTGTTAAAGCCTATTTTGGGAAAATTTGGGTTAGAACACGTGCTGTTGATTCGAAATTAATATATAAACAAGGGACGGCTTGATTTCAGGAAACGTGACAGGGGTCTTATATCCAATACAAACATACCATACGTAAAAGCAATTATTTAAAAAAATCACGAAAGGCTTATTTCATTTGCACAATAATTATTTTAAAAAATGTATATATTTAATTGTAAATTACCTTAAGTCTTCAAACAGAGTGGAAGGAAACGAATTCCATTGTCTATAAAATGAGAAAATTTTGTAAAAAATTGTTCGTCACGGTGCAACTATTGTCATCTTTTTACCAATTCACTATTCGCTGCGGTCTGATATGTAATCCCTATTTCTAGGGTGAATACTATATATGCTTTGTGGTTAACTTTTATTACCCCCTGTAATATTTGTCTGAGGCTATTTTAAATTCAATAGCAAAGATATCTTGAAAAAGAAATTGTGGTAAAGTATTTAAACATGAGATAAACCATACTTGGCACATATTGACATAGAACTTGGCTAGATTTTTAAAGCTTTAAAATAATTTAATTTTCGTCAAATATTAAATATTCAAAAAACCAGCCTATGTTGCTATCAATATAGTCCTAAATTTGGATATATTTATTTGTAAATCGTTACAGTTATTATTATACAAGACTTTTCATATTAAATGTTGGTACAAAATCAAAAATTACAGAGGTGAGGTCTACAGGTCGTTTCTTCAATGGCAAACTGAGAGAAACTGCATTCTATTAAAAAGGTAACAGAGAGTTTCCTTGTTCAAAGTCATTAACTTGGTTAGAGACTGGAACCTGGTATTTAGGCTCCGGTCCTTATTTTCATTGTAGAGTATTTCATTGTAGAGTATACATATAACAAACTCAGGTCCTTAATTGCACCACAGACTGTCGCCGCCCTTGTTTCACTTTGATATTCATTATAGAATAAAAACCGGTATAAAGTATAGTGCTTCAAGAACATCTTTTAATCAGAAGCAATTTCATCTCAAGTTTAATAAAACACGGTTTTGAGGTTGATTTTGACATTACTTCAATCTCTATCTTTGTCGGTTCTAATTAACAGATACCCCATCCACCTTCAAACTAGTATATAATATTTTAATTGATATACTCACATGAAAATTCCTTTAAATAGTCAAGACAAAGATCAACGAAAAATTATTTGTAAAAATGCTTATTATCTCAGTATTTCATTTCAGGGACGTTGAGCTTGTAGACAATTATTGTACTGTAACTGAAGAATTAATAATACTACATTTTATATTTGATATTTTATAAAAAAATATATTAATACAAATGAAGTAAACGAGTGCTCCATATTTTTTCTTTATTATTTTATAAACATAAACTTATTTTTTTTATTGTTATCACATAGTTTATGTTTCTTTAAAAACATAGACGTTTCTGGAACAAATGTGGACCAGTAAAAGATTTTTGAAAATGATCGATCCTTCGATCAGTCTGGCTCTACCCATTTGCTCCGTTATGTTAAAAAAATGTATCGTAGTTTATGTAACTTATTTCTTTCTGTCTGTAAATGGACATTGAGATATGTTAGACTTAGACCTTTTGTTCGAAGTTTAAGATGGTATGCATTAATTACTGATAGTGCTCAAACCATTATTAAAATAAACTGTTGTCTCGTCTGCCCGTGATCACGGTTGCTGTAAAATAGCCGAAACGTCGGGAGTATGGATTTTTTATCAAAAATAAAATCACGTCGTACACCCGAAAAATAGTAGTTTCAATTAAATGTTTGGTCATTGTTGATTTGATAATTAGATTAAGAATTATGTGAAAATCCTCGAGTGACATAAAAATAAAAAAGGCAATGATGATAATTAGACCAATCAATTAAAATCAAAAGTAAGCTCATGTTATCAGATGAAAACATAAAATCGATGATATAAAAGCAGGAATTAAATATACCACCTAGATTGTTCCAACGAAGTCTGCATCATGAAGTCGTTCTTCGTGATATTCTGTGCAACTGGTAAGTAATATTGATTTAATAATGTATTTTCTTATTTTAATTTTTTTATAAAAAATAATATTATACATTGTTTATAAAAAAAATTAAAGGAAACACTGGTGTTCTTAAAAGGCTAATAGTATATAATTTGTAAGATAAATATTTATAGTAAAATAAATTTAATTATTTACTAATTGGATAACTTATATTCCAGTTCTGACCGCATATGCGGTTCCACTTAAGGATGAACTTGACCACACTGGATATCCAAGATTCGTAGAAATACCAGGTGGTGATGGAAATATGCATCTTGTTGACTTGGAAGAACCCGTTGACTACGAACTTTTAGAAGATGTAGCAAGAAATCCAAATAATAATAGATATCTTCTCTTCACAAGGTAAATAAATTTAATGTCCTTGTAGATGTTTCTTTTATAATTATAAATATTTTTTTAAATATTTTTTTTATTTTAACTTAACAGGAAAAATCCAAGAAATTCTCAAAACTTAGTTATGAATGACGCAAACAGTATCACTAGGTCTAACTTTAACGCTAAAGTACCAACTGTAGTCGTTGCTCACGGATGGCTTAGTAACCAAAACACTGACATAAATCCAACTATCAGAAATGGTACTGTATGATCTCGTAATATTTTCATTTATTAAATCTTAACAATCAAATTTCCCTGCAAAACATATATTAATTATATTTTTTACATTGCAGCTTTTCTCGGTAAAAGTGATGTGAACGTAATAGTCCTAGACTGGAGAAGACTCGCTATTTCTACTTATCCAACCGCTGTAGCCGGAGTACCAGATGTAGGCAAAGGTCTAGGAAGGTTCCTTAACTTTCTCAACAGAGTCACGGGGGCTCCATTTAACAGGATGCATTTAATTGGATTCAGTTTAGGTGCTCATCTTGTTGGAAATGCTGGTCGAGAGCTAGGAGGAAGGGTTGCACGTGTCACTGGTAACTCTTAACAAGATTATTATAAATTTATCTCACATATTTCGGTCCACAAGACTGAAATTGCTTCAACTGTTCCTTATAAGCCAAGAAGACAACCTAAAAGTTTCCTTAAAATAATATTATAATAAAAATAAAATAATAAAAAAATTGCTAATTAAGTGAAAATTTTTTCCTTCTATATTGTGCACCATAAATAGTTTTCACATCTACATATATTAAATTGATTCTGAGGGAGCATTTAAATTATACTGTAAAATTAACTGTTAAATTAATAAAAATCGGTTACAATAAATTAAAAGATATGATCTTCTGAGCAACTATTTAAAGTTCTATCAACTTAGTAAAAACTACTTTATATTTTAAGCCTCTTTCGACTGTTAAATAACAATAACTTTTACTTTATAGGCTTAGATCCAGCTGGTCCCCTGTGGAATACAAACCGAAACCGTTTCCGGGCATCAGATGGAGTGTATACTGAAGCTATTCATACTGATGGCTCGGCTGTAGGACTTGGTATTGGATCTGCTGTTGCTGACGCCGACTTTTTCCCTAACGGTGGAAAATCACAGCCTGGTTGTGCTACATCTCTTTGCAACCATAACCGTGCCTGGGAACTTTTCGCATCGACGGTCACTCGTAATCACCTTGTCGGCAGACGTTGTTCTAATACTAGTCAGGTCAATAATGACAGATGCAGTGGAAACTCTTTGAATATGGGCAACGACGACCTTAACAAGAGAGGGTAAATACTCCTTGTTTACATATTTATATATTAAAAGTTTACTATTGTATTACCTGTAAGGTAAATTACTAAATTAATACAATTTATTTTGTTACAGATCTGGTTTATACAGAGTTAATACTAGAAGAAGCTACCCATACTAAGAGGATATGTTTTTTTATAAGAAAATGCAAAATTTGACTTTTATAAAATTTATCGTATCAAATATAAAGAATTCATATTGGAGATGAAACATTAAAGCAATTGTTAATTTTAAACTTGTTTATTCAATTACACCAATTTGAAATCCATAATTAGTACAATCAAATTGGACAATGTTTTTTTTTAAAGCTTTGTTCATTCTAATTTAAGTCTTACTTTGATAGAATTTTATTCTTACATTGAAGTCTATACTGTCATAAAACACGGTATATTTCATTTTAATATAACAAAACATTTTTGTCAAATTAGAACCACTTAAACAAGATATATATATATATATATATATTAATCGTACATGTCGTGTTTGCTTAATATAGTTATACATTTACAAAGTAATTTGTATTATTTATATATATGTATGTAATAAATTAATAAATTGTATGATCAAAATGTAACAACTCCTAGCAAACCTAATAAATAAATAAATAAAAATACATTTTAAAACAATCCAAATAAGCAAGGTCAGCTTCAAAAACATTTTGAAATGCAATGAATTTGGTATTGTTACTTAAAATATGACAAACAGTAAATCCAGGCTTTTCTTTTCTTGATTTCTATATATTAATAATATTGCAAAAGACAATATTTTTTTTAAGGTACAAACAATTATTATATAATTCTTTTAAATGAAATTATAGATTTTCATAAATGTTGATACTTTCTGTATTATATAACAACTAGCTTTCCGCCCGCAGCTTCGCCGCGTGGAGTTCGGTTATATCGCGTTTCCAAGAGAACCTTTCAAAAGTCTTTGATAAAAACTATCCTATGTTCTTTCTCAAGGTCAACTCTATGTCTGTACTAAATTTCATTAAAATCAATTCAGTGGTTTAGGAGTGAAAGCGTAACAGACAGACAGACAGACAGACAGACAGAGTTACTTTCTCATTTATAATATTAGTAGGGATTTATGTATAAATAATAAATAAATATTTGGTAACTGACTAGTTCATGAAGTTTTTAATCTTAAAATATATAAATCACGTGTCGCGTGGTTTGTCCGCGATGGATTGCTAAACTACTTATTTTATTTTAAATTAAATTTGGCCACCGTGAGCAGTTTAAGTTAGAGCCGCAACATTATCTTATTGCAAATTATTAATCTGCGCAGAAAAAGAGACCTCTTTCCAATATCCCTCACTGCGCAGCATGGCCTGAACTGAGGCCAGGCGTGAGAGGTTGCCGCCGATCGTATCCCTGAGGAGTCGATGGTGCTCAGCCTAAGCATGGCATTTGTCAATCAATGGCGTTGGTCGTTGCAATGTCGACAATCGGATGTTTCCTCTCTTTGAAACCGAAACAGGTATCTTCCGAAACATCCGTTTCCGGTAAGCACCTGCATCAGGCGGAATGTGAGAAAGCCGTTTCGTCTCTCCAGCCACTCCTCAAAGAGGGGTCTTGCCGATGCGATATCAGCGTGCCCGCGCTATTTCAAACCTAACATGTCATATATGTAAGCTACAATCTAATAGTATAATTACCACGAGTCATTGAGAATAAAGTATAAGTTAAGTTTATTTTGTAGGAAATGAAATGCCGTGAAATTCAATTGTTTACTTTAAAAAAAATTGTTAGCATAGTTGACCACGTTTCCATCTGGATACAGGTGATACAGTTGTGTATGAGGTTACGTAAAGCAAAATATAAATAGAGGTGACGTTACTGTATCTATTATTTTAACGCACTTTATATATTCCTCTCTATGTTATTTAACTTACTAGTTCCTATCTGTAAATGGATTAGACCTTTTACCTGTTAGATTTAGACCTTTCTTAAAATTCTTAAGGAAAAAAATATAATTATGTTACATTTCCTTATCATGTCGTGCCTTCTCGATCTCCATTAACTTTACTATTATTTTGTTCTGCCTTCAGTTTGCAAACTCCGTTATTATTTAAACTTAAAATTCAAACAAGAATAGAAAAGGGGTTGAAGAGCATGTAAATACATATAAAATGAATAAGATTATTTCAAGCAGGATAAACTAAGATTTCGTAAGCAATAGCTTATCCAGAACTCAGATTCCTTTATGGTGTGCTACAAATCTTACATTTATTATGTTATCCTTTATAATTAAATAAAAAATAACGTACGTTAATAACAAAATTTCATTTGAAAAACTTATCGAATTGAGAATTTATTTGACTTTATTTACTATTTTTTATAACAGTGAATTTATGATAAAAAGCGACGATGATAATTAAATCAATCAATTAAAATCAAAATCAGTTCATGTTATCAGTTGAAAACATAAAATCGATGATATAAAAACAGGGATTAAAAATACCACCTAGATTGTTCCAACGAAGTTTGCATCATGAAGACGTTCTTCGTGATATTTTGTGCAACTGGTGTGTAATTTTGTTTTCGTCATATTTTTTTTTCTTTTATTTTTACTAAACAATGTTTTAACACTATTCTTAAAAGACTAAAATGTTTATAATTACTAGGACAAATATGTGTACTATATTTTATAAAAATTAAACTATGTACTAATTCCATACCTACTAATATTCCAGTTCTGACCGCATTCGCGGTTCCTCTTAAGGATGACTTTGAACTTGATCACACTGGATATCCACGATTCGTCGAAATACCAGGTGGTGATGGAAATATGCATCTTGTTGACTTGGAAGAACCCGTTGACTACCAACTTTTAGAAGATGTAGCTAGAAATCCAAATAATAATAAATATCTTCTCTTCACTAGGTTGGTAAATAATTTTATCTGTCCTATTATATTTTTCTTTTATAAACTACATATTTGGCATAAATAAATTATTTCTTTTAATCGTTTTTTTAAAACAGAAAAAATCCAAGAAATTCTCAAAATTTAGTTATGAATGACGCAAACAGTATCTCAAGGTCAAACTTTAACCCTAATGTACCAACTGTTGTTGTTGCTCACGGATGGCTTAGTAACCAGAATACTGACATAAATCCGACTATCAGAAATGGTATTGTATGATCTAATGATATATTTAAATTTATTGAAACTTAATTTTCATATTTAAGCTCAAAAAATATATTAATTATATTTTTTACATTGCAGCTTTTCTCGGTAAAAGTGATGTGAACGTAATAGTCCTAGACTGGAGAAGACTCGCTATTTCTACTTATCCAACCGCTGTAGCCGGAGTACCAGATGTAGGCAAAGGTCTAGGAAGGTTCCTTAACTTTCTCAACAGAGTCACGGGGGCTCCATTTAACAGGATGCATTTAATTGGATTCAGTTTAGGTGCTCATCTTGTTGGAAACGCTGGTCGAGAGCTAGGAGGAAGAGTTGCACGTGTCACTGGTAATTCTTAACAAGATTATTAAAATATTTTCTTACAAATTTAGTGCCACAAGACTGAAATTCTTTTAACAACTCTTTATCCAAGAAAACAAAATTGATTTTGAGGCAACATTTAAATTCAAAGGTAAAATTAACTATTTATAAATTTTAGCCCCAAATTATAAGATTACTAAATTTAACAATTAAGATCTGTTACTAAAAATGTATAATATTCCAAACAACTATTTAAACTACTATCAATATAGTAAAAACTAATTTATATCTAAAGCTACTTCCGTACTGTTGGATAAAACTAAATTTTACTTATAGGCTTAGATCCGGCTGGTCCTCTATGGAATGTGAACCGAAACCGTTTCCGGCCATCAGATGGAGTGTATACTGAAGCTATTCATACTGATGGTTCGGCTGTAGGACTTGGTATTGGCTCTGCTGTTGCTGATGTCGACTTTTTCCCTAACGGTGGAAAAACACAGCCTGGTTGTATTACCCCTCTTTGCAACCATAACCGTGCCTGGGAACTTTTCGCATCCACGGTCACTCGTAATCACCTTGTCGGCAGACGTTGTTCTAATACTAGTCAGGTCAATAATGACAGATGCAGTGGAAGTTCTTTGAATATGGGCAACGACGACCTTAACAAGAGAGGGTAAATATTCCTTGCCCACATATTTATATATTATCTGCTCATTCTACTTATGAGATAAAATATTAGAGAATATAATTATTTCTAAAATAAAAACTGAAAATCTTGTATAACAAAGATATCTTAGTCATATGTTTTTAAATATTTTTATAGTTTTGATCATGTCTTTAGTAATTTCAAATTGTTTATTATTATTAACATTTTTTAAAAGTTTACTGTTGTATTACTTGATAAGTAAATTACTAAATAAATACAATTTATATTGTTACAGATCTGGTTTATACAGAGTTAATACTAGAAGAAGCTACCCATACTAAAAGGATATGTTTTGGTGTAAGAAAATGCAAAATGTGACTTATCTATTTATTGTATCAAATATAAAGAATTAAAAATGGAGATGAAGTATTAAAGCAATGATTAATTTTTAAATTGTTTAACTAGATTTACCTCTTTGAAATTCTTATGAACCCAATTTTGCGCTACAATTATCATATTTGCACACTTTTTATTTGAGAGCTTCGTTCACATACTAATAACATATTATTTCCAAAATGCTTTAAGACGTATGAAAGGGTTTCAATTTTAGTCTTACTTTAATAATCTTATACGGTGATAAAACACGTTATATTGCATTTGTATGTACTGTGTAGGATCATTATGTTTAAGTCTTATTATTTCTGGGCAAGAATTTATACTTGTGCATAAATTTCATTTATTAATTTACATTCGTATAAAAAAATTTTATTTATTGTGAACACAAAAATATTTTTTTATAATAAAAATTATCTCATTTGTTACTAACATAACAAAAAGTTAAACATCTAAAAACAATCCAAATGAGTAGCGTAACGTAACGTTTTAAATGCTGTTCATATAATAAATTAATTTAAATAAGTAATCTATACGTTATTTGTGATTAATTTACGAAATTTTAACATGATTTCAAAACATTGATTAATATTTAGAATATTATAAATACGTAATTATCTGCACAGCAGTACT